GCTCGGGAGAGGCGCTCGCCGGCCGGGCGGCTGCGCGGAGGCAGGAGGGACCGGCCAGCTGGCGGCAGAGGGGCCCTCGAGCAGCTCTCCGTCCACTGCGGTGCATGCCAAGGAACAAACTGTGAAAGGCCAGGAGACCGGGCTTGGGGCTTTCTTAGGCGCAGGAGGGGTGGGAGGGTAACAGCTATTTAACAAGATATTTTTCATTTTAAATTATATATTTATTTTAGATAAACTGTACATAGTATTTATATTTATTGTAGGTCTGGCCCTGTATCCTTCGTGTAGGTCAAGATGACAGGGTCAGACCTCCCTTATTTTTTAAGTGCAATGTAATATTCTAATAAATAACACTTTGTTACAAATACTTGGGTTGTTAATTTAATGACGGAGGTGGAAAGGAGTTAGACCTCTGAAGACTGCACATAGCAACATGCCCTTGCCAGTGGGGTATTGCAAACAGCGGCAGAGATCCTGAGTGCGCGGCGGGGGTTGCTGGATTGGCTTGTGCCATCCTTGGGGTGCAGCAGAGCAGCGTGGTGCAAGGGGCTGGTGGCAGGATCTGTCCTGCAGGAGCCTGCAGCCAAGCCAGCCCCATCTGCGTTTCTTTGGAGACTTGCATCTTTGCCAGCTGATGCCCTGGGAGGGATGTGATATTTGGGTGTCTGCTCGTCAAGCAAAGCTGCCTCTGCTATGAGTGAAGCCATTCCGGCCACTGATTGATCTGAATAGGATTGATTCCTGGTTTTAAGACAGCATTTGGCTAAAAAAAAAAAAAATCAAGAGGTGGACTCGCACTTCCCTTGCAGGGGATCCCAGCAGTTCCTGGGGTGGCTGCCGGCTCCTGGGGCTGGGGTCATTCCAGCGAGCATCATTTCAGATGGTGGTTCAGGACTGATTCCTGACTTTGCAGTAAAAATAACCCCAAACCACTTTTTCCTCTTCCCTGGTCTTCCCCAGGGGGAGCCGAGATCAGGGTGAGATGCTGGCTCTAGTAGAGAGCCTTGAAGCAGAGAGAAAGGGCTTTCCTCCAGCCCCTTTCCCTTCAGCAGATGCCAAACTTCAGTTTTCAAAGGGGAGTGCTAAGCTACTTGCTTTCTACTCCTGCTCCCACAATGTGCACTAAAGCTGGGCAGTGAGTAATCTGCAGAGCTTTTTGGCCTAATTTAGCCAGAGTTTAGCTCTGGTAAAGTATGAAATAAGCTTTATGCTCACTGGGGGAGGGGTTGCTTGGGAAGTGAGTGCATAGGTTGATCCCTCTTGCGCAGCCGATAAGTTTGTGGTAGCAAAACCTGGGGCATGGGAAGGTGGAATGCAGCAATACTTTGGCTTTCCAGTGCCTCCCGAGATAGAAGGGCTAAAGTACGTGGCTACGGCAGATGGGAAGCGGGTGGGTGACAACGGACACCCTTGCATGTTGTCACCCGGAGAGTAAAAGCCCCAGCAGCTGCAGTGGCCCGAGTCCCAGAGCCGGGGAAACAAGTTACTGGCTCTGCTTTGTGCAAACCTGAACCTTAATGCTGTGGGAGTGCCAGTTTAATCAGAGACTTCAAACTTTGGCCTTTTTCAATGTCTATTGAGCAAATAATGCCTCCGGCTGCTGTGCAGGAGGCCCTTCTGCTCTGGATCGCCTGGCTGTGTCCCTGCCTTGCTCTGCTGCTGCTGCTCCCCTCCCCGGAGCCGCTCCCTGCTCCAGCCTTTCTGCCTTTCCTGGTGGGCAGCTCCGAATGCCTGGGGCTCCGCACCACCTTGGCGGGCACTGGGAATAGCTCTGCTGGAAGGCTTTTCTGCAGACAGCTGGGACTTCTGCCCAGAGCCCAGCTGCCCTCCTCCTTCCCTGCAAGGACATGTTCTGGTCCACTTTGCTCCTCTGTAGGCCGGCAGTGCCCACAGGTGGTAATTTAACAGGCCAAGAGATGGGAAACGTATTTTGGAGATGTATGGAGCGGGAAGCTGGCTGGATCCATGGGCTGGCTCCCTCTGCCCCACTGGGCTCGGAAAGGCTGACAGTCCCCCATGCTGGTATCGCAGAGCTGCTCTTTTCCCGGCTGAGGCAGGGATGAAGCCCCCAGGGCAGCTCCCTGGTCCAGCTGTGCTTGTGGCCATGAAACAGGAGGTGCCCCAGAGCCTGGCTGGGGCACGCGGGGCTCTGCCCTGCCCAGGATGCTGACGTGCTGCGGGGGGAGGCCAGGCTGCTCGCCTAACTGCGCCTGCAGGAATGGGGTGCCGGGAAAGCAGTCTCCACCACCCTGCTGTCCCCCCTGGACAGGAGTGGGCCGCTGCGGCAGCTGGCCAAACGGAGCACTGGCGGGGGTCCTGGTGAAGGCAGGTGGTGGCCTCCAGCAGCCCCAGCTCAGCAGCCTGGCCCGTCACCCCCCTCCAGGCACGAACCCAGGAGCACTAACATGTCACCAGCTGCAGGACTTCCCGACCGCCATGGTGTCAAGTCCACTTGCTGCCTCTGGCGCTGACTCCATACTGTGACCTCTAGCATCTCCCTTCAGATCCCTTTGACACCTGTGCCTGGCTTGTCTACGGGTGACAAAACGTGTGCCCGGCCACTAAACACCATCACCCGGTGTGTCCCCCAGCCCCCTGCCTGGGCTCACTCGGTCCTGCTGCAGGCAGAGACCACGCGCCTGGAGAAGAGCCCTGCAGCTTCTTCTGCCTCTTCTCCGCAGCAAGGGTCAAAGCTAGGAGACCTCCAAAATCCCAGATGCGGATTTAATAAAAAATTGCAATATATTGCATTAGTCAATTTAATAACCAATTCTCCCCTGCCTGCCCCAGCACCTTGGCAGCCATGCTTCAGTGCCTTTGGCCATCACAGCGTGGCAGGGTTTGGATGGAGGGGGCAGCAGTGCCCTGGAGCAGGGACGAGGCAGCTGAAGAAACACCCCAAAAGTGGCTGAAGCACCCCCGCTGCCTCCCTTTGGAAGCAGG